TGGGGGGATTGAGGAAAGGATAAAAAAAAGAACGGAGATCAAGGCACCAGAAGATGTCGATTGTCATTACATTTAAATTTTTGAAGATTTTAGTCACCAAGGAAGCAAGTAAGAGGGAGGGAAGTGCGAGTGAAGAATCTGTTAGAGTAAAAAGAGGCGATTACATTTAACTGTTTCGGCCGTAAAAGGGTGTGACCGAGATGCTGAACTAGTAGCACGCTTAAATTCATGCAGTCGGGGCACCAAGTAAAACAACTCGACGCCATGGAAATATTTATAAAAAACACAGAGATAAGTTGCATTAACTCGGTGAGAAAGTGACTGAGGCCGAGCCCCTAAGTCAGCCCCTAAGTCAGGACCGGTCACATTGCATATCCATCTTTGGATTTTGTCGAGAACCTCGAGATGAACAGCGGGGGCACCAGACCATATATGGCGACAGTATTCCATGCATGAACGAATGGCAGATTTATAGATATAAAGGATGGACCGAGACGCGGAAAACCTTTTGGCAACTGACAAAGAACTAACTTTCCTTGCGGTAGATGCAGCTGTTGATTCAATGTAATTGTTCCACATCAGGTCAGTAGAAAACCTGAGACCAAGAAGGCGTAGAGATATGCTTTCGTGGAGTTAAGCATCTACCAGGCTGATAGGAGGAGGGAAGTTTCTCTATGGTGGATAAATGAAAGCAGTTTCGTTTTGGAGGCATTAAAATTCACAAAACATTTCCTGCCCCAGTCAACCACAGATTAGAGGTCGTTTCCGAAACCAACGACCAGTTTAACTTTATCAGTAATGCCGTATTTACATAATAGTGTCGTCTGCGTAGGTACCGACTTGAGAACTGATGATATCAGGAAGATCATTGATGAAGATCAGAAACAGTGTAGTACCAAGGATAGAGCCTTGAGGAACACCAGCGTCCGTATCAATGGAACTGGAAGTGAGCCTGTTCAGGACAACCTTCATTAAACGTTTAGACAATAATTGGATTAAATCTAATAATCGTCATATAATACCGTATCCTTGATGCTTACGTAGAATTCCAGCATGTCAAACCCTGTCAAACGCTTTCGATATGTCTAGAGCAACAGCTCTCACTCCGCCGTTTTTATCAAAAGCTTGGTATACATCATCAGTTATGGCCGTAAGCATATGAGCGGTACACCGTGCAAAGCGGAAACCATGTTGTTTGTTAGAGAGCAGATCGTGGGAAGTGAGATGCTTAACTACTTCGGCATTGATTAAAGACTTACTGAGGAGTGGTAGGAGACTGATAGGGCGGTACTTAGATGGGTTAAAAGGGTCCCCACTGTTCTTAAAGACCGGGACGCCAGGGGAGGTACGGAAGTTTCTCTATAGTGAGTAAATGACAGCAGTTTCGTTTTGGATCCATTAAAATTCACAAGCTATTTAGTGCACCAGTTACCCACAGATTAGAGGTCGTTTACGAGACCAACGGCCAGTTAAACTTTATTAGTAATACCGTATTTACATAATAGTGTCGTCTGCGTAGGTGCCTACTTGAGAACTGACGATGTCAGGAAGACCATTGATGAAGATCAGAAATAGTTGAGGACCCAGGATAGAGCCCCGAGGAACACCGGCGTTGGAAAATTATTCAAATTTTTGATTTTCAATTTATTTTATATTTTAAACATTGGGGTATACTTATTATTTTTCTGAAATAAAGAATAAACGGATATATTAACTTACAGATATTTTAAGCCGGTTTCTTTAAAAGTATTATACAACTCTGGAAGTGAAGCAACTTTTGTCTGAGCATTTTTGTACGTTTGTGAAAACTCTGTTCTGTAATTAAAAACTATATATATATATATATATATATATATATATATATATATATATATATATATATATATGTTCTTTAATGACATGTCTCTTAAAAATTAACAAAATCTATGTATTTCATCAGACAATTGTTGTTTTTTAATTGTTTTCTTTAAAAACGCACATATATAGATAGATAGATAGATAGATAGATAGATATGAAATGTCATAGATAGAGAGATAGGAAACAAGATAGATAGATAGATAGATAGATAGATAGATAGATAGATAGATTTTGATTTTTTAAATCATTTCACCTAAAGCAAGGCGGGAATGCCACTAGTAGACAGGGGGTTACAGAGAGTTTAAGTGAAAGAAAATACAAGGTATTGGAGGGCCAAGAAAAGAATAAAAAATGAACTGGGTTAAAGAAGAGAGAAATGGCGACTGACGTTGCATTTAAATGTTTGAAGATTGTAGTTATCAGGGAAGCAAGGAAACGGAAGGGAGTTCTACTGGCGGGAAAAGAAACTGTTGGTGTCGAATTGGCGGTTACTTAATTAAGCAGTAAAAGGGTGGGACCTAGATGCCAATGTCGTAACACGCTAAAACCCAGGTAAGGACTGGTAGCAGGGAAAAATCCCGTCCTAGTAGTAAACATGAAAACATTTATAGAAAAGACAGAGGGAAACCACGTCACGTCGGTGAGAAAGTGAGCAAAGATAGATTAAAAAAACGTTGGATGAAAACAAACATTGGCCCGAAAGTAAAACAAAAAAAAAGGAAGGGAGAATAAAAACGATGACTGAAAAAAAGAAGAGACGGAAAATAAAAGGAAATTCAAATAGTAGGTGTAGATAATGAATGAAAAAAGCAATAACAAAAGAAATAGAAACGGAAACGATAGCATGGACTAAAAATGAAGAAGTATGGCTGTTCTTTTCTTTCTATCTATCTATCTACCTCTCTCTCTCTCTCTCTCTATATATATATATATATATATATATATAATTATTTATTTAAAAATATGATTCCAACGCTACATAAGAGTTCTCATGTTTCAAAACAAGAACCGAAAACTTCAATATAATTATTTGAATTAAATTGAAGTACTAAGCTCTGTTCCATCTTCAAGCGAAATTTTTACTGGAATAACTTATTTCTGAATTTTACGTGTTTTATAAGCATATTCATTATTGAAATTAAGATTACTATGGTAACGGCTAGAGCAATTGTTTAAAGAAAAGGCGCGAAAGAGGTTAATAATTCGTATCAGTATCTCAGTTACATTTACAGACGTCAAGTCAGGGTAAGGTTGGGGTGTCTAAATTTTAAGCGGAAGATGACATCGTCTAGTCTGGTTAAGTGTCTCTGGAGATTTATTTTTTATTCTATGTTTTTATTTTTCTGAAAGGGTTTTGTGTATATAAAAAAAACTATCGTAAGTCGCTAACATTTGTTTTTTTTGTTTTTTTTGACGACTTCATAAAGGGTTATCTTTATTTTTTTTTATAGGGCATTTAAACTATTTATTTAGACTATGTAATTTAAAAATTATTTTATTGTTTGTTTGTTTTTATACTAATTATTCAATGCAAAGATTTGATGATGTCGGCAAAAAACCGTTAACTCCTCTCTATTGTTTAATAGATTTTTATTATTTAGAAACTAAATAATGTGTAGTTTTTCAGTATGCATAAAGGGCATTGGTCATCCCAAGTTTTACAAGTTCTAGTTTTTTTTTAATTTTCCATGTATATATATATATATATATATATATATATATATATAAACATTTATGCGAAAATTATAACATAAAATGTTATATATATATATATTATATTATATATATATATATATATATATATATATTGCATAATGAATTATGTTATATATATATATATATATATATATATAGCATAATGAATTATGTTATATATATATATATATATATATATAATGAATTATGTTATATATATATATATATATATATATATATATATAATAATAATTATATATATATATATATATATATATATATAATGAAAAGCCATGTATACTTTCTTAATATGTATATATAGGAAAAACAACTAAAAAGTTGCAAATTAAAAAATAATAATGTTTTTTTATGAATGTGTTTATTTATATTTGATATTTCAGATCGACCTCGATCTTTCTTCAGAAATAACTGTTTTTAGATGTTTGCTTAAAACATTATATATATATTTTTTTTTAGCTTTCTCGTTTCTTTGATAGACGTTGCATAGCGAAAGTTAACTCGTATTAAAAGAATTCACCTTTCGTGCTCCTGTTCAAAGAGCCTCTGACTTCCTTAATCTTCTGGTCTTAAATTCCAGATTCTCCGTAGAAAGCAAACCAGCAGAGGAAACGAAAAATTTTAAAAATATTAACTCAGTAATAATTTTAAAATAATCGCAAACGAAAACCATAAAGAGAATCCTAGAATAAGAACTATTTAAGCGATGAAGAAAATCTATCGAGACATCGATTACTTCTTCGCTATTAAGTAAATCGTGTCTTGACTGGCTAAGACTGCGGTTTTTAAGCAACAACAAGAATTTTATGTTATTTGTTTTCTTTTGAGGGCAGCATACTAGCAAAGAACTTGTTTGAATAGACTGCCGTTAGATTTGAAAAAAATAAAGGTTGACATTCTGTGGAATTTACGACCAGCCGAGTTGGGAAGCCATAAGTTCTTTGAACAGAGGCTCTTCTTTTGATAAGAGTTAACTTTCGCCATGCAACGGCCATCAAAGAAAACAAACAGATAAAAAAACAACGTGTTTATTTTTGTGCCTTCTATGTAGAAGAGGAATCTAGGAGAATGATGAGAAAACATAGATAGATAGATAGCTAGCTAGCTAGCTAGCTAGATAGATAGATAGATAGATAGATAGATAGATAGATAGATAGATAGAGAAAGAGAGTAGATAGATAGATAAATAGATAGATAGATTAGACCAGTTATAGATAGATAGATAGATAGATAGATAGATAGATAGATAGATAGATAGATTAGGAACAGCCATAGATACAGAGAGAGTAGATACATAGATAGATAGAGAGAGAGAGAGAGAGAGAGAGAGATTAGAACAGTCATAGATAGATAGATAGATAGATAGGAACAGTCATAGATAGAGAGAGAGAGTAGATGGATAGATAGAGAGAGAGAGAGATTAGAACCGTCACAGATAGATAGATAGATAGATAGATAGATAGATAGATAGATAGATTAGAACAGTCATGTATAGATAGATAGATAGATAGATAGATAGATAGATAGATAGATAGATAGCCAGGGGGAAATATATACCAAAGTTGGAGGTTGAGAGAAGTAAACAGATTAAATAGGCAGCATTTAAAGCGTGACATTCAATGGAATTACGGACTTGTAGAGTGGAGAAGTCATAAATAATGCCACTAAAGGTGGTTCCTGTAACTTTTGGCATACAACTTCTATCAATGGAAACAGAAAAGCAAAAATAAATAAATGCATTTCTTTTTATTTATACCATGCAAAAGTGAATATAATCTAGCAGAGCAAGTAAGTATATATATATATATATACCAGTACAACTCGGAGTTTCATGCACTACGCAATTGCCAGGTACTGAGAGCTGATTACAATCTGCTAATCCAGCAGTCAACCGGCGCTTGTAACAGTAAAATTAGATCAGTTGGTTTTGCTACTTTGGTTTCAGCCTTATAATATCCTCAAGCGATTTTTTTTATCTATGGACCCCTTTACAACGCTTTATTTAAAAAACGAAACAATTTACGCTATTTTATTTTTAAAATAAATAAACAAATGCACGGTGTTGTGTGTGATAGAAAGGAAAGGAGAGAGATGCAAGGACTCAAGTGAGTGTTTCTTTTTTTCATTCGACTAAATTACAAATAAAAACAAATATGTATTTAAAAATACAACATTAAAAACTTTTATCCATTTAGATCTGAAAAAGTTCTACTGAAGGCTTTATACTTCGCCAAAAGCTTCATGAACAAACAGAAATAATTTTACATTGCTGCAAATCACTTTTATTCCACAATGAAGTAACCTGTGTTAAGAAATAAAAAAATACGGTTTCGATGTACCACAGGGTTCGTTTGATGATTCTGAGATTTCAGAGTTAGTAGGCCTACATATCTTATATGAAAATAACAAAATTGTACATATAAACAACAACGGTTTGTATAGTGATAACTAATTAACACTAGTAATTTATGCAACTGTAGAATTAAGAAAATATGTACATTAGATGGAGCTTGTGAAACCGAAGCAATAATCTATAAAGCAGAAGTTATAGATATTAATGGTCAGAATAAAACATACATAGGATGTACTGAAGGTTCTTTTAAGCGAAGATGTTACAAGCAGAGGTCGTCATTCAAGCTAGTAAGTCTTAGGAGCTCCACCAAACTAGCTAACCATGTGTGCAATTTAAAAGACGAAAACAACAGGGATCTGATTGTAAGATTGAATATTTAAAAAAAAAGGAGAAGCCTTACAACAAACACAATAAAATTTGCAACCTCTGTTAATAGGAAAATTTAGAAATAATGACATTTGGAGATCCCAAAAACTTTTGAACAAGAGATTGACGTCATGAACCGTTGCATTCATTCAAGAAAATTCCTCTTAAGCTCATATGAGGCAGGTTAAAAAAAAAGTATGTACACTTCTATTAATTCCCAGGGATACATTTGCTTTTCCCTTTCTTCTTCTTCTTCTTCTGTTTTTTTCCTTCTTCAAATACCCCGTCTCCCTTTCTATCACACCCAAAGCTGTGCGTTTCTTGATGTGTTTTTAAAAATAATATAACTTTCATTGTTGTTTTTTTTTTTAATAAAACGTTTGGAGGCCAGTTTATAAAAATTGCCTGAGGAATACCGTAAGTTTGAAACCAAGGTAGCAAAATCAACTTTTTAAAGTTGCCATACTCTCACCAAACGAAAAAAGTAATCGTCAGAACGCTGAAAATTAACTAAATTTTCTGTGACATAATTAATTAATATGTTGAAAATAAAGGCTGATGCCCAAATATACATTAATATATATATACATTAACACACACACACACACACACACACACACACACACACACACATATATATATATATATATATATATATATATATATATATATATATATATATCCATAAAGTTCCATAAAGTTCATGTGCACTTGTAATTTATATTCTTTAAAAGTGGACACGAACTTTATGGACACTCTGAATGTATTATATATATTTATATATATATGGTAAAGGTAACAAATCCGTTGGTATATAATCCAAGAGGATCCTAATAATATAAAATATTAAAACTGAACCACAAAAAGAACTCAATATATTTATTAACAGAGTAATTAACTTCGCTAACATACGATCTAGATTAATAAATCCAACAAATTATGTCTAATCTCAAAAAAATAGAAGAAAAAAGTAACCGATAAATTATTAATTACAACCTGTTCTCATCTCTGGAAATCTTCGTCGGACACGATGAAATGATTTGTCAATATTGGTGATAAGGAACGAGCTATACTTATCAAATTTTTCATCATAGATTTCTATTCCTCCACTTCCGGGGGATCCCTTGGTAAATTGTATTAACTTTGAAAAAAATTATGTGAAGCTCACTGATGAGGAGCCTAATATCATCTTAAAATCTGGGAAATCAGTTCTAGCTCATAACAATTCCCCCTGGACTAAGTACCTTAATGACAATTTTCATGTCTTTATGGTTGCATATGATTCAGCCTAGGTTACTGATTTAGTATGCATTTATATTTTAGATAACCTTAGTAAAATACTAAATCCGAAACAGATATGCCTATACAGAGATGATGGACTCATTTTTATCCTCAATAGTAATGGTCCACTAACCGCAAAGATCCGTAAGAAAATCATTAGGGCCTTTAAATTTCTAGGTTTAAGGATTAAGATTTCCTTTAATCTTAAAATAGTTGATTATATAGATATCACACTTAAGCCCAATAATAAAACGTTTAAACCATACCATAAAGACAATGACCCCACCACCCATATTAATGATAATTCTAACCACCTCAATGACATTGCGAAATAGATACCTACAACTGTTGGCACGCGGATTAATCGCTTATCATCCAAATAAACATCTTTAATAAAAATTAAAACTCGTATAAAAATGCTCTCCAAAAAAAGTTGTTTTAAAAATAAATTATCTTATCTAACCTAAAAAGAAAAATTATATGGTTCAACACCCCCGCTTCTGCGAAATAACAGCTATTAATATCGGTCAGTATTTTCTAAAGTTAATTAATAAACACTTTCAAAAAATTAGTGTTTTGTGGTACAGAATTTAATAATAACTAGGAAAAGGCAACATTTATAAGGCATTTTTTATTAAAAAAGGAAACAAAAAAAAAAACAACCGGTTTCGTCCCAGGACTTATCAAGTTTATTTTTCTGGGAATAGAAAATTTATAAAAACGTGTAAATTAAATTAACGAATGGAATGGATGAAAAAATATGTATTTCAAGAAACTAGAGTCCAATAACATTCAGACCCAATAAGCATTCCCTCTTTTCACAAAGGGAAGACCCACGGGATCTGATATACAAGGACTATGTTACCTTGAGATGAAATGTGGAGTGGGACCTAGATAAAATCAATAAAACGGTCCGCACTAAAATTAAGCACATATTTCCTGCTATTTATTATATGCTCAGCAATAGCAGAGCCAGAAGTATTGGTCAGTTGGCTCTTCCTGGCAGCCGAATTCAAAATCCTGGGGTTGGGGGTAAATGTTATTTTATTCTCGAATCCAAAACTAATAAAAATAACCCTCTAAGATCTTCAATAGAAATATGATTAAGATTGTCTACTCTTGTACCAATAACATGCATAAAATTATTAACTCACACGATAACCTTATTTTAAGAACATTCTATAGGACAAACATGGACCCTCCTTTAATTGTAGATCTAAAGAAAATTGCCCAATAGAGGGCAAATGCAAATCTACCGGCGTTATGTATCAAGCGATCATATACCCCATAGAAAATATGAAAAATTATAATGTTTACATTGGAATTTCCTCAGGGGAATGGAAACAGAGATTTTATTCCCATAGGCACTCATTTTCTAACACTAAGCTAAAACACAGACCGCTCTTTGAAAACAAAATTGGGAATTGAAGGAGAAAGTTTTGAGCCCACAGACAGTTTAGAAAATTATAGGTTCCGCGCGTAATCCTAATAATCTTAGAGATAGGTGTGACTTATGTTTAGAAGAAAGTATTAGAATAATAACATACAATAATGAAAGCCAACTACTGAATCAGAGGAATGAATTAATGTTAAAATGTCGACATAGAAACTCATTCAAATTTCCATAACATAGTTTCAATTTAATTAGCTACTATATTTTCATAATATTTATTCCTCTCTAATTCTTAAAATGTAGACAATGTAACTCATTCTAATTTCTATATTTTATTTCCCCCTCTTTAATCTCTTTACACTATATTTCTAAGCTTTCCACTACTTTAATATATCTCCAATTTTCTTTCCATTAATCCCTTACATCCTTTTATCTATATATTTTAAATTTATTTTTAGATCATTTTTAGTCCTATTTTAATGTAGAAAGCTTTCTGCATATAACCCCAAATTAATTTCATAAGGTTAATATTCGGGTTTAATTTTATAAACTTTTTTCCTTTTAAGACAAATGCCTTCCACCCTCACCTGATTCCTACCTCGTACCTTTCGTCTGACTGAAACATTGAAATGAATAAATTCTGTATTTTTTTTTTTTTTTTTTTTTGACAGGTTAATTTTTTTACCTTTCACAGTTAAAATCTAATCCCTGCAGTCACACTATCTGTATAGACACGAAATCAGTCCATATCGGGGTTGATAAGACAGACAATCGATATTTTCGTCTGCCGAAATAAACTATTCCCCATATGAGGTCATTTTAGATTTTATTGTTTATTATATATATATATATATATATATTTGTGTGTGTGTGTGTGTGTGTGTGTGTGTGTGTGTGTGTGTGTGTGTGTGTGTGTGTGTGTGTAGGCCGAGTGGCATTAATTTCACTGATTAAAAAATCAGTGAAATTATTGCCAAGAAGGAATGTCTCTTCAAACTCATGTACTAAGTAAATGTGCTGTTAATAACAAATATTTTTTTTTCGGATATAAAAAAAATCAATTATTTGTTGAAAAATATATTGATTTTAAATATTCGAAATTCAAACTTTAAATCTGTGCTGTCCTTATCTTTGTTGTAATATTCATGACGTTTCAGCCTTCTTCAGGTGATTGGAATTTCGAACTGATCTCTTTATTTCGTCCACCCAGGTAGCTTGTTCTATTTCCTCGTGCCACGA